GAATATACAGATTCTATTCAAACAGCTACCAATATTACTATTCAACTATTACTGCAACTAACACAAAATATTTACAATCAGATCTGGAAACCTTACTGTATAAAATTATCTGAATGGAAACAACAAAACAACATCCCTACTCAACCTAACCGAACACAAATTTTGAATCAACAAATTACCAATTCCACAAGTAATCGTACACATAACCAATACAGAATACCCCATACTTACAGTTGTCCTTGTGGTTTACCAGACCAACAACATACTGATAATATATATCTACCTCTTGGAAAAGCCATTAGAAAAATATCTTTATGGACAATTCAATAGATTAAATATAGTACACCAACTAATAACATAATAAATTATAAAATCTAGGTGAGTTTTAACCACTCTAGTAGGTTTAGATTACAGATAAATAGTCTGAGTCTCATTCTTGTATAAAAATTTGTAAAATATAGCTTCGGCCAGAAAAACCCCTTGTGGATTCTCAACACAAATTATTAATAAAGATAAAGGCAAAACCTTACCTTAATATAAAAAAAAAAATAATAATAATAATAAATAAACATGTTATAACAATAAACTATATAAATTCTAGCAAACTCTCTAACCATGATATTAAAGGATTCATAGCCAGAATGGTGTGGGAATGACCAATTAAGAAGCATATTGACATACTCTATTATGATGTTTTTAAAAACCAGGAATCAGAAGTAAAGGCATTAATTAACTTTGTTGCCAAAAGCCTCAAGATACACATAGAATATCTGATAGCGGATTCTAGAGGAGAAAATCCAGATTACACATCCATGGTATTAAATCATGTAAAAGAATTAGATTATATTACAATTATTCTTACATTTCTAGCAGCAAGCCATTTTCAGTATGCTAACCAACTAGAACTTAAAGAAGAATGATGAAGGTATGATTTAAAAAAATATATATTTGTATAAATAATTATAATAACCAAATATTTCAAAATTCTATTGGTTAAATATTGCAAGAAAGGTGCTATAAGAAGACTAATTGAGCAAATCAAAAAAAAACAAGCCACATTTTTATTTCTTTAACATATTTACCTATACATGCTTATTTTTTGTTACTTTATTTGAAATAATTGTATTTATACATATGCTAATTTACTTAAGTTATTATTGCATTTGTTATACGTGTTATACATAGCGCTTAATTGATTTTTAAATATTTGTTTTATATGTTAAATATTTAGCAGTGGATGTATATTCCAAATATAAATCTTATACGATCTTAATCATAAATATGTGCATATTTATTCTTGTCTATCCACCTAACATTGTATAGACATACATTCAT